TGGGGGCCTGGAGGCGGGGGAGGCGGGGGGCGGGGGGGCCCTGGAGGTGACCGCCGCGTAGAGGTCCGTGAGGAGTTCGACGCAAGCCTCTGCCGCAGCAGGAGAAGGAGGCGACGGAGGCAGCGAGGCCCGGGAGAGACGCAGGGGGACAGCAGCCCACAGACACCAACTGGTTTAGAGACAAAGCACGGAAAGAGAAGAGACGCTGCAGAGGCCGGGAGGCCACGGAGAGCAACGGAGATAAAGGGGAAGGGGCAAAGAAGCCAAAGGAGCGCAGAGACGCAGCAGGAAGGGACCGACATAGCGGAGGCAGGAGACAGGCAAAAGAATAGAGGCGACAGGCAAAATGGGAACAAAGGAGGCGGGTAAAAGGGGAAAAAGACAGATTCAAAAGGGGACTGGAAAAAGGGGAATGGAGAAGACAGGAAGAACGGGAATAAAAGAGGCAGACAAGGAGGGCAAGGAGACGGAAAAGGAGAGACAAGAGCCACTCAGAAAACGGACAACGACAGCGGACAAAACGAATACAGGAAACAAATGGCAAAAGGGAGAAAAGCGGCTGCTGCAGGAGAGGCGGCGAAGTGACCCACCCCGGCTCTGGTAGAGACACACCTCCACTTTGGAAGGGGACAGGGGAACGCCGAGGCGTCTGCACAGAAGCTCCAAGTAGGCCCAGTTGCGCCGACGGGCCTCCAGACTCGATCCCGTATCCAGCATCAGGGCCTGCACTTCCTGAGTGCCCACGCACCTGACAACGCTCGCTGCAGCCCTCGCAGCTGCTCGTCTGCCTGCGCCCAAGCTTTGGCTCGTGTCTGCTACTTCTGCTGCTGCTGCTGCTACTATTGCTGCTGCTGCTGCTTCCTTTCTAGGCCCTGTCTCTGTGGATGCAGTTTGGGGTTGTGTTGCAGCTGCTGTGGCGCTGCTGGACTACACTGGCACTTCCTAAAGCGGGTCAGCAGCAGGCCTCGCGCTAAGCCGACCTGGGGGCAGAGCTGGAACGCAGACACTGCTGATAAGGTGATAAGAGAAGCACAAATGAAAATAGACAAAAAAGGCGGAAGAGAAAGAAGACAAAAGAGTAACCAGCAAAGCGATGCTCGAAACAAAAGCTAGAAAAGAAAAAAGTGAAAGGAGGCAAAAGAGAAAACAGGACAGAAGAGAAAGAAAACAAAGGAGAAAGGACAAACGAACTGCGGCCCGAAAGCGGGCCGCCAGCAAAAAGGAGCAGCAGACAGGGGAGGCTCAAGAAGGAGAAAAGCCCCAGCAAAGGCTAATATAAATAAAGAGCAAAATCAAATAAAGGTGCTGAGTTAGTAAGGGTCTGCGTAAAGCAATCGGATTTACTATGGGGCTACGATATTAGCTCTAGCGTTGGTAGAGTTTTTAACAGGCATACAAGAGGCACAAACGAGCCAAGAGCATGCAGCAGCACAAGCAAGTTAAGGAAACACAGACTGCTGGGAGAGCTCAAGGGAACAAGAGGTCACTAGCGCTGCTGCTTCTGCAGCAGCAGCAGCAGCTGCTGCTGCTGCGCACTTTAGGGTGAGCCAGCTCCAGCAGCTGCGCCGCCAACACCCCACTAGACATGCCCCACTTGATGCCTCGGCCGTCGATCTGCACGTTGTGGTCTTCCAGGAACTTCAACACTTCCCGGGGCACCCCGTCGAGCCCTCCCCCCATTTTCCCCTAAACCCTAAACCCTAAATCCTAAACCCTAGACCCGCACTGCAGCTCTGCAGGCGCTGGGTGCCACGCTTGCGTGCAGCCTGCCAGTCAATTTCTTTTTTTTCTGCTAACAGCTAAGTCTTAGGGACTAAGCTTTGCCGTGGCGAGTTAGGCGGACGAGCCCCGGCCCAGGCTTCACACCTTAAACACTAAACCCTAAACCCTAGACGCTAAACCCTATCCCCTAGGCCCTAAGCGCCGAAACCTGGCGTGCAGCCTCGGGCAGAAGGTCCCTGGCCCTGACGGCGGGCTCGAGGCATGATTTAGCCTTTCTTTTTCGTATTGTTTTTCTTCGTTTTTCCTCGCTTCTCTCCGCCTGGGCGACTCCTGCTGCTCCGTCAGCCCCCTAAAGTCCTTTCGAGGGCAGCAAAGGGAGCTCTAAGGAGAGAAGAGACGCTCAGAAGGTAACCGCCGCAGCCTTCCAGTCAGGAGAACCTTGGGGCTGCATGCTTGCATGCATGCAGGAGCTGCCAAGAAAAACCTGGTTTGAAATCAGCCAAATAAGCAAATTGTAATGTCTACCTGCATAAATGTTAATATCATATATTTAAAGGAAGAAAGATTTCAGAGAAACGCCAATAGGGTATAAGGCTTCGTTGCTGCGCTGTGTGTGCACTTCCTCCAGCGCCCAGCGAGCACAGTGCCTCGCTAGCTGGGACCGTGGCAACGAGGGTCTAAAGAGCAAAAAATATAAATATGAGAATAAAAATAAAATAAGAAAAGTAAAAAGGAACCGCCGGGATCTCGACAGGGGATCTCGACAGATCTACATGGGCGGTGACTCAGCAAAACTGCCTCTGTGGCTGCCATTCGCAGCGTGCAGGCTACCTATCTATATAACTGCCAACCTGGCTAGCTAGCAACCCAGCCAGCTATCTACACAGCTAGATGGATAGCTAGCTAGCTGGCGTTGTGGCTTCTTACCCAGCTGGCTAGCTACCCACCAAGACTGTGTGCTGAGTTTATTCCTTAGCTTTGCCTGCGCATGCACTGCACTGGCAACAAAGCCAGGCCCCCTGGGTTTGCTGGGGACTTCCCTAAGGACTCTAATTAGTACTGTGGATCTCCAGCCACAGACAAGTGCAGCAAAATTCTGGGCTGGGGCCCCCCGCGCTGCAGCATTAGCTGCACACTGCTGCTGCTGGGGGCCCCAGGCCTTCACTAAATTTCTTTTCGTTATTAGTTTTCTAAGGAGGATGAAGCCGCCGCTAGCTGCACAGAGTCACACGCGCTTTACAATATTGATTACACTCAAACTTGATCAATTTGCTGTTTTTATGTTTTTCTTCTAAGTGAAAACCATATCAGTGTGAGGCATGAGGCTCTGTGCCCAGCCACGGGGGTCTTGCGGCTGCTGCTGCTGCTGCTGCTGCTGCTGCGGCTTGCGCCCTGCCACGTGGCTGGCTGACTCCAGCAGGAAAGAAGGCATCACTTTTTGGCCGCACTCTTGTGTTGCATCTGCAGCACTCCCTGCTGCGCCCGCAGCCAGGAGAGTCCCTGGCAATGCGCGCACAGCAGCAGCAGCAGCAGCAGCAGCAGCTGCTGCTGCTGCCGCTGCCTCAGCATCCGTGGCCCCCTAGGGCTTGTTCCCAAGGGCCCAGCGAGTCCCTGCAAAAGCCCCTCGCGCTGGGGCAGTTCAGTTTAAAACCAGAAGCCAAGAAGTAGCTGCAGCTGCCTTAATGGCTTTATTAGAACAGCCCCAGAAGCAATTTTTCCCCCTTGCGGTCACCGGGGGGCCCCCTAGCGCAGCTAAAGGAGAACCCTAGAGACTCTCTGCTGCCTCGAGGGGTCCCAAGGGCCCCTACGGAGTGCTGCAGCCTTTGGAAGGGCCCCAGGGGACCCTACGGACTCCTGCAGCATCTGCAGGGGCCCCAAGGGCCCCTCAGCTGGAGCAGCAAAGGCCACAGCAGCACAGTGCGGGGGCCCCACAGCCGGTGGGGCCCCCCAAGGGCCCCCATGGAGAACCCCAGGCAGCAAGACTTTCAAGCCCGGTACCTCATGGCTAGCTGAGTTAGAAAGGCCCGGGTGGCTTCTATTTGGGGGCTGTCTCCAGGGCGGAGGCGTTCTGCTGCCACTAGCTGGAAGGTCAAGAGCCGCTCCAGCGGCAGCAGGTTCTCCAGCTGCAGCAGCAAGCAACAGCACAACCCCGCAGCAGCAGCACGCTGCAGCATGCTGCAGCCCGCTGCAGCAGCTCAGCCGCCACCCCCAGAGGCCTGTGGGGTGCGCCTGCGCGCCTGGTGTCTGTACGGCGCGGGCTGCTGGGGTGTATACACAACTACATCTAAACGGGCTCGGGCTGTTGGGGTGTATCTACAGCTACGTGGGCTCATGCTGCTGTTTTAACAGTAGTTGTTTTTAATAAGTTAAATCTAAGTGTATCCACAGCTACAGCTGAGCGGGCTCAGTCTGCTGGGGTGTATCTACAGCTAAGCGCGCTCAGGCTGCTGAGGTGTATGCACAGCTACAGCTGAGCGGGCTTGCGCTGCTGAGGTGTATGTACAGCTGAGGGGGCTCTGGCTGCTAAAGTGTTTGTACACCTAAGCGGGTTCGGGCTGCTGCGGTATATGTACAACTGAGGGAGCTCTGCTGCTGGGGTGTATGCACAGCTGAGAGGCCTGTGGCCGCTGCGGCGTATGTACAGCAGAGGGGCCTCTGCTGCTGCGGTGTATGTACAACTGAGGAGCCTCTGCTACTGCGGAGTATGTACAGCTGAGTGGCCTCTGCTGCTGCGATGTATGCACAACTGAGGGGGATCTGCTGAGGTGTATGTACAGCAGAAGGGCCTCTGCTGCTGCGGTGTATGTACAGCAGAAGGGCCTCTACTGCTGCGGTGTATGTACAGCTGGTGGGGCTCACCAGGTAGCCCTGGGCGAGCATTTGGCGCAGCAAAAAGGCCAAAGCGTCCAGCAAGCTGGCAGCAAATTGGGGGTCGTGGGGGCCCTTAAAGTAGACGTTAATTTCTTCCCGAGAGTCTGGCAGCAGCCTGCGAGCCGCAGCAGCAGACACCAGAAAGCGCATGCAACAATGAAGACTCCTTTGCTGGTGAGCAGGAACTGCAGCAGCAACTGCAGCAGCTAGAGACGGCAGTAGGCCACTAGGTGCAGCAAAGCAGCAGCAGTTCAGAAGCAAAAGCAGCTGCTGCACTCCCCCGGGCAAACTGTGGGGCCCCAACAAAAAGATAGAAATGGGCCCCCAAGGAGAGGGGGCCCCCAAGGAGAACTGGGGGCCCCAGGGGGCCTCAGGGGGCCCCAGGGGGCCCCAGGGGGCCCCAGGGGGCCCCTCGGGGCCCCAGGGGGCCCCAGAAGACAGCCAGAGGCCGCATAGCTCACCTGAGTTGCTGCTGCATGTTGTTAAATGCATGCATGGCTTCAAAGAAGCGCTCGGAGCTCAAGAGAGAAAAGAACAAGCCGCGAGCAGCCAGCAAGTCCAGCCGGCGGGGCACTCTTGCGCTGCTTCGCTGCACAGTCACAGCAGCAGCAGCAGCAGCAGCAGGAGCAGCAGCAGCAGTTCCAAAGCCTGTGACCCCACGCCAAGCCCCTCCTAGCCCTGGCTGCGGCCCCCTGCATACATTAGCGGGCCCTGTGGGGCCCACCAATGCATGCACAGGGGCCCCCTTCGGCCCTGTGGGGCCCCGGGGGCCCCCGCAGCCGCTGCGGGGGGCGCAGGCGAGGTGTACAGACACCTGAAGGCCCAGGGAGGGAGCAACAGCTGACCTTCAAGACATTAAATGCATGCAAAAAGAAAGCCTTTAGTTCGAGGCGCTGGTGGCTGTTCTCCGTGTTGAAGTCTGCGAAGAGCTGCGACGACAGCGCGTCCGCCAGCGCCTCTGCAGCAGCAGCAGCAGCAGCAGCAGCAGCAGCAGCAGCAGCAGCGGTGAGGGGGGCTTTTCTAGTGCAACTGCCAACAGTACTGCCGGGAATCGAACCCACCCGCAGCATTTCGCTCGTCTGTGAGAAGCCAAGAAGCAGCAACAGCTGCGCGCAAGTCCCCCCGTCTTTTTGCTTCGTGTCTCAGCGCGCAGTGCAGCAGGAAAATAAAAGGGTGTTCTTCCAGCAGCCTGCGGCGCTGCTGCAGCTCCTCGCTGCTGCTGCTGCTGCTGCTGCTGCTGCTGCTGCTGTCTGCGGCGGGCTCGCAGTCGAAGTCCGCCCACGGAGAGCCTGCGCCCTTCTTGCTGCTGCCGCTGGTGCTGCTGCTGCTGCTGCTGTCGGCGTCGAGCAGCACGAAGTAAGAGCCCCACAGCTCGTCTTCCAGCCGGGACATCGGCGCGGCGCGTGGGCCGCTGCTGCTGCTGCTGCTGCTGCTGCAGTCTGCGACGAGCCTTTGCTGCTGCGGCCTGCGCAGCTGCTGCTCGGGCTCCTGCAGCAGCAAAGTCTCCAGCAATCCCGCAGCCATTCCTGCTTCTCCTTCCCCCAGCAAAACCCCAGGCCTAGTGAGGGCCCCATAGGCCTCCCGCACAACTGCTGGCAGCAGCGGGACTGACCAGAACAGCGGCAGCAGCTGCGAGACACCCACCCAGCAGCACAGCAGCAGCAGCAGCAGCAGCAGCACAGACATCCAGCCCCTCGCCTGCTCCCCGGAAGCCAGGGGCCCCCGCAACAAAGACACAGCAGCAGCGCAGCAGCAGCAGCAGCAGCGCAACAGCGAGGGCCAGCGGGGCAGGATAGAAGCAGCTGAGCAGCAGAAAGAGGCAGCAGGGCGAGTTGCTGCTGCTGCTGCTGCTGCTGCTGCAGACGCACGCTGAGGGCAAAGACCTTCGCAAGGGGAGCTGTCCCCAAAAGGCCCCCGTCCATTGCTGCCAGCAGCAAAGCCTTCAGCTGCGCCCTCGCGCTGCAGCGCAGCAGCCCCGTGGGGGCCGGGGAGGGCACAGCAGCAAACAGCAGCCTGCTGGCTAGCTGTGCTGCTGGGGTGTCTGTACACCCGAACGTGCTGCCAATTGCTGCTGCCAAGTCCTCCGCAAGAAAGGTCGCCAGGGGGCCCTCGCCGGGGGCCCCCTGCTGCTGCCGCTCCACGGCCCACGCCTCGTCGCTCCAGGGGCCCCCTGCTGCTGCTGCTGCTGCTGCTGCTGCTGAGTCGAAGCCTGCAGCCGCGGACGCCCCCGCCCCCGCTGCTGCTGGGGCCCCACACGCTGCTTCTGCTGCCTGCCGCAGGGCCTCCGACGACAGGTGCAGCAGCGCAGCAGACTCGAAGCAGCCAAATCTATAGCAGAGCAGCAGCAGCACCAACGCAACTCGCTGCAGCACAAAGACACAGGCCAATCAGCAAACAGCTGCAGCCCTAACGGACTTTTTCACACAGCCGCGGCGCCGCAGCAGCAGCAGCAGCAGCAAAAGCGGCAGCTGCAGCAGCAGCAGAAGCGGCAGCTGCAGCAGCACCCAGACCAGCAGTAGAAGCAATACAGCAGCAGCACGCGCAGCACAACGTGCCAAGTAACCGATTAAATGGCAGTAACAACAGCAGCAGCACCTGCTGCTGCTGTTTCTGCTGCTGCTGCTCTCTTACTCTGAGGAAGGGGTAGGTGCGCAGCAGCCACAAAAGCGCATCTATTAAACCTCCGCAAAGAGTCAGCAGCCACGCGTAGGTAAAGTTGACATGCAGCGCAGCAGCAATGCGCTGCTGCGGGTCACACCAGGGCTGCTGCTGCTGCTGCTGCAGGCGCTGCGGCACGCCCCCACCGTGTCCCGCTGCTGCTGCTGCTGCGAACTCCATGTGCTGCTGCTGAGGGTCAAAGAAAAGAGGCCCCTGCAGCTTTACTTTGCTCACGAGAGAACGAAGGCCGCGCAGCAAGAAGCTGTCGCTTCCGCGCTGCTGCTGCTGCTGCTGCTGCTGCTGCTGGTGGTCCTGAGCCAGCAGCAGCATTAGCCGGTAGTGTAGAAAGTCCTCCTGTGTCACCTGCTGCAGCAGAAGCAGCAGCAGCAACCCGGCAAGACAGACTGCTCACCAACACTGCGACAGCACACCTGGCTGCATATTGCTGGAAGCAGCAGCTAACAAAGAACCCCTAAACCCTAAACCCTAAACCCTAAACCTTTCGGCCTAAATCGCACAAGATTGTTTACCTGCAGCGTATCCGAAAGCTTAAGAGGGGGCCAAAGGTCAGGCCGCAGCAGCGACAGCAGCAGCAGCAGATGCGGATCTGTCCGCTCAGCCGCGTCCTCCTGCTGCTGCTGCTGCTGCTGCTGCTGCGGTGGGTGCAGCACGAAGCAGTCACTCCAGCTTCTGGCTGTTGTAGCTTCGGGGGAAAGAGCAGCAGCAGTCGGCATAGCAGCAATGAAAGCCTGCAGCGCTGCAAAGGGCACAAGAAGCAGCAGAGGCCAAACTATAGTGAAGCCGATGCATGCTGCTGCTGCTGCTGCTGCGGGTGCGGCTGCTGCTGCTGCTGCGGCTGCTGCTGCTTTCGAAGAGCTAACAAGTAAGATACAGAGGGAAGGCTGCAGCTTTATTTAGGGTCTTTTGCTGCACATAGAGTAGAAGGCTTTATTAAAGTTTAAGGCGCTATTCTTATAACTCTGGGACCCCGCTGCTGCTGCTGCTACTGCTGCTGCTGCTGCTGCTGCAGCTGTGCAGGTAGGCAAGCCCTACCGTCTGCTGCTGATTGGCCCTCTTTGTCTGCTGCATTACGCTTCACTGCCTCGACGGAAGTGCGCAGCAGCAGCAGCAGCAGCTGCCGGCAAATGAAAGGCAGCAGCGGCGGATAGGGCCCGAACTCGCGGACGCACACAGATTGCTGCTGCTGCTGCTGCTGCTGGGATGCCACAGATGGGTCTGCTGCTGCAGCAGCAATCGCCGCAGAAGCTGCAGCAGAAAAGCTGCAGCAGCCAGGCCCCAAGGTAGAGCCCGCGCCCAGGCAGAGGAGGCACTGCAGCAGCAAACAAACAGCAGCAGCAGCAGCAGCAGCAGCAGCACATGAGCAATGGCGAGGCCAACAGCTGCAGCAACCAAACAAAGGGGCCCCCCTAAGTCAGGGGCCCCACGGGGGGCCCCAAGCCTTGGGGGCCCCCCAAGTTTAAGGGGCCCCAAAATAAGGGGGACTTTCCATAGATAAGGAAAGGCCAATAAATGTAAGGGGGCCCCCCATAGACAGATAAGGAGTGGGGGCCCCTACAGATAAGGGGGGCCCCTGCGATACGGGGGGCCCCCATAAATAAAGGGGCCCCTAGAGACAGAGGGCCCCCATAGATAAGGGGCCCCCACAAGCAAGGGGGCCCCTAGAAACGGGGGCCCCCACAAATAGGGGGCCCCCACAAACAAGGGGGCCCCCGGAGACGGGGGCCCCCATAGATAAGGGGCCCCCAAAAATAAGGGGCCCCTAAAGACCGGGCCCAAACGGACAAGGGGCCCCTATCGAAGGGGGGCCCCCCTAGGTAAGGGGCCCCTAGAGGGGGGCCCCCGGGGAGGGGGGCCCCTGGGTACTAGGGGAGGGTCTTACAAGTAAGTCTCCACTTCTGAAGGCCAAATAAACTGCCGGCCACCAAAGAGAGGCCCTGGGGGGCCCCCTTGTGTCTGCTGCTGCTTCTTCTGCTGCTGCTAGCTGCAGCCAGGGCAGCGCGAGGTCCGTGCTGCAGCAGAGCTGCTCGTCGGCGCCGCGCGCTGCTGCTGCTGCTGCTGCTGCTGCTGCCTGCAGCAGCAAGTCGGGGGCCCCCGCGGCCAAACGCCGGTCCTCCTCCAGTGCAGCAACAGCGTTGCACAGCAGCAGCTGCAGCAGCGAGCTGCTGCTGGGGGGCCCCCAGCGCCAAACTTCTAAGCAGCGGAGAATGCCCAGCAGCAGCCGCAGCCAGTTGCTGCAGTGCTGCTGCTGCTCAGGTGTCCATACACCCCAGCTGTCCAGCGCAGAAGAGCGCACGCAGACGGCCTCTGCTGCTGCTGCTGCTGCCGGCTTCTCGAGGTCCACTGCAGCAGCAGCAGCAGCAGCTGCTGCTGCTGCCGGCAGCTGCTGCAGCAGCAGCGCCAGGCCCCGCCCGTCTTCCTGCTGCTGCAGCTGCTGCAGCGCAGGCAAAGCGTACAGCAGCTGCTGCTCAGGCTCTGTAAGAAGAGGGTGCGGCTGCAGGGCCTCGGGGAGTCCATGGGGGGCCCCCCGGGGGCCCCCGGGGGCCCCCCCGGGGGAGGGGCCCTGCTGCAGCAGACTGTCTGCTGCTGCTGCTGGCAGCGCCAGCTGCTGCATGAGCGCCGCCTTTGCTGCTGCCCAGCACTTGAGGTCTCTCTCCATGTCCACAGCAGCCAGCAGCTGCTGCTGCGATGTTGCTGCTGCGCTGCGTGCTGCTGCTGCTGCACTTTGGTGGAGGCGCCGCAAGCTGCGGAAAGCAGCAACATCAATGCCGCTGTTGCTGCCCTCGAGCCCCACGAGCCACTCCTGCTGCTGCTGCGCTGCTGCTGCTGCTGCAGCGGGCGCGGCCGCCAGCCCCGCGGCGCCCCCAGCAGCAGCAGCAGCAGCAGCAGCAGCAGCAGCAGGGGGCCCCTCAATAAGAGATAAACCATCAGCAAACAAACCCTGAGCCCGCAGCCTCCTGCACTCTCGGGTGTATCGGGCCAAAGAAGTTGCCAGGCCAT